ACATCTGGGCCAAAATTTGGTGACATGGGACTTCATAATATCTGCCACTTTAATAAGGGTAAAATGAGGTCTCATTTAAAAAGATTGATTTGGTATGATCAATTCCTCCCCTCAACTTTCCACAACTTTCTCATATAGTCACTAAGAGTGAACCGTCAATGAAGAGTCACTAAGTGAAGGATGGCATTAGTAATTGGATGTTGAGACTAAACAGAAATGATAAAGGAAAGGAAAGTATTCCTGAATTTCAAACTTTTCCATGCATGCCTTTTCTTACCTTCAACTTTGTCCCAGCCCAGCGCACTAAACCTGGCACAAAGTAGAATTTCAAAAATTAATGACCCAGTGGGCTATATCCAAAATTGTTGACCCAGTGGGCTATATCATTCTTATCAGGTGATCAGAATAAGGGTTAGTGCATGCTTTTGTGAGGTTTAGATAATGAACACAAATTTAAATAAGGAATATAAAAGGTTCTACAAAAAATGTAAAACTTTGCTGGATGTGGTGGCACACGCTGGTAGTCCTAGCTACTCAGAAAGCTAGGCTTTCTAGCTATAGTGTGCTGTGATTGCACCATTGCACTCCAGCCTGGGCTGCAAAGTGAAACCCTGTCTCAACAAAATAAACAAAAACAAAAATGTAAAACTTATACAAAGATATTATTTTCACTGGTGTATTGCAGTTCCAATGAATTTCTATGAGAAAAAATTCAGAGTACTCTATGTAAACTCTACTTATTTATATAATATTTAATACCTGCTATGTGACGTGAGAAAGAAAAAAGCAGCCCTTAACATCAGGAAACTAGTTTGACACTTCCAAGTAGGCCTCAGTGTTTTTAGAAACTGGCCTGATATGCACAGCTAGGCCATGTTGTTCTCCTGATGGGCAGTATCTCACTGAATACCAACATCAGACAAAGTCACTCTGTGACCATGAGGAAGTGAGACAAAGCAAGACCACTTCCAAATTTTGTTTAATCAGGGACAACAAAAAGGGCAGTGTACAAAGCACAAAATACCAATGTTAAATAAATTAATGAGAAGCCATTATGGACCAAGTTAGTGTTAGACTAAGTTCCTACAGTAGGCCTCAGCAGACCAGATCAAACCTGAATGGATTGACTCATGCTGTCACCACGTAATCAAACTACACTCTGAAATGGGCCAGTTTTCCAACAACAACAAAACAACAACAACAACAAAGGACATTCATAGCAACCAATCAGAAGGGGCCAAATTTACCTAATCTGGCATGATAAGAAAGTTCCCTCTGTTTTAACCCTACAAGGAAAGTAACTTTGAAACAACCGTTTCGCTTCTCATTCCTTATTTCTGCTCCCTCCAGCCACTTTCTGCCTACAAAGCTAGCCTCTTCTGCTCAGCTCAGGGATTCTAGAGTCACAAATAAAAGCCAATTATTTAAACTGTTAATAGATTTTTTTTTCCTTTTTCTTTTTTTTTTTTTTTTTTTTGAGACAGTCTGGCTCTGTTGCCTGGGCTAGAGTGCCGTGGCATCAGCCTAGCTCACAGCAACCTCAAACTCCTGGGCTCAAGCGATCCTCCTGCCTCAGCCTCCCGAGTAGCTGGGACTACAGGCATGCGCCACCATGCCCGGCAATTTTTTCTATATATGTGTATTTTTAGTTGTCCAGATCATTTCTTTCTATGGGACTACAGGCATGCACCACCATGCCCGGCTAATTTTTTCTATATATGTGTATTTTTAGTTGTCCAGATCATTTCTTTCTATTGTTTAGTAGAGATGGGGTCTCGCTCTTGTTCAGGCTGGTCTCCAACTCCTGACCTTTAGCGATCCACCTGCCTCAGCCTCCCATAGGATTACAGGTGTGAGCCACCATGCCCGGCCTGTTAATAGATTTTAATTTTGTCTTTTGACAGGAAACATCTGCATTTTCCTGATGATATGGATGACTAATGCCTTTGTCAGTTACAGCTTTAGCCTTGCTCTTTATCTTGCTACCCTCCTAGATAAGATGAAGATACCCAATCACTGAATAGTCCCCACTCCTGACACCACCTAATCTTGAGCAACCTTTCCCACCCTGTTGTGTGAAGTCTTCCCCAAATCACATAACCAAAGCTCAAGTTCTTTAAGGGCTTTCTAACATCCTCTTTCTAAGACACCCCATGGTTCTCCAAAACACTGGTTCTGGCTTCCTGTGAGTAATAAACTCAACTTGTTCAGCTACAGATATTACTCCTGGTGGTCTTTGGCTGGAGAGCATTGCCAGTTTATATAAGCTATCTCACTTAAGCCTGAAAATACCCCTATTTGGTAGGTATTAGTATTAATATAATTGTCCCCCTTTTGTAGATGAAGTAGCAAAGAAAGTTAAACATCATGTCCAAAATCAAATAGTAAATCACAGGAATAAAATTTGTATCTGGGTCCAACTGTCATCAAGACATAAGACAAAGGAGCATAAGGAAATACTTGCGTTGGGTTGCAGTATGAAATGTCGGTTCTTGGTACGCGATGGCCAAAGAATGACCAGACACACCAAAGTAAGGCAAGCATGAAAATGAGCTTTATTGAGGACAGAAAGATAGGATTACAGAGCAAGAGCAAGATATAGGTTTACAGAGTGAGATACACATGCCACAGATGACTGGTCCCATTACCATAGCAAAAGAGAGAGAAAAAAAAGGGCTTGGTTATGGTCTGGGTCTTGTTTTATAGTGTCTGGATCGGGCCCTCCCTTGTGGCTGAGATGTTACCATGGAACCATTTTGATCGGTCAGTTGGGAGTTATATGACCCGAGTCTTACTGCACATGCGGATCTCCCATGAGCCTCCCTGAACCTCCATTTGAGGTGGTGAACTGCAACAGCACCCACTTCTGTCTATAGTGTTAGGGTGAATTCAGAGGCCAGTGGAAAATTCCATGGGGGCTTGACCTTTGGACCCTCAACCCTCCCTGCCTTTGGGGCCCTTGCAGTTACATAAACAGCCAAAACTTGGTATCCTGCTCTTGCAAGGTATTTCTGGCTTATGCAAGATAGCCCCACACTCCCTTTGCTGGGGAGGGGAAGCCACCCACATTTGCCCATAAAAGCCCTGAACACTCGCCCATCTTGGGCTCTGCCCGTCTGTATGCAGACGTTAAAATAAAATTTTGTCCTATCCTGGCCTTGTGCATTCCTCCTTCAGCGTTTCTAACACTTAGGAGATCCGGAATTCCTCACTATCTACCTAACACTTGCAGTTCTCCTGACCTTACTGTTCTCCTGGGAGTTTCCTTAAAGATTAGGTGCTCTTTGAGAACTTAGAGTGGTATAGAGTCTGGCACAGTAAAAGCAAACACTAAAAAATAAAAAACTGTAGCTTGAGGACTTCCTTGGGACTGAGGCTCATTTTCTGCACCTCTGTGCTAATCTCAGAGTACCTAGCGTTGTATCTTTCACCAAAATCGAGACTGCATATTTACCAGAGTCTTGGCCCACACCACCTCCATATAGTCAGAGGATAGATATTGCAAAGAAATAGTTCAAAGGAAAAATTGACTTTTAAAGGGGATAAAAAGTACACTGATGTCAAAACTGCAAGGGGGTTTCGGTCTAGGTCCAATTGCTTGTGGCACAAAGATCCTATTGTTGAGACAGCCAGTATTGCCAAGGAAGAAAGGAATTTTTAATAGGAATGTCTTGTCGGGAGAATGGGAGAAACTGCTTCAAATCCACCTCTCCAGCTAATGAGATCATGGGGCTTTTATAGAAGAGGCCAGTGCCTTGGGGTAAGTTGTTGTGTAACTAGGAGCTCGGTGTATTGGGGACAGGTTGTTGGGGATGGCAACTGTTGATCTTCAGAATCTCAGCTTCCTTGTCTTGCAGAAAGTCTGTTTCCCATTGCTGGGAAACAACTCAAAGGGTCAAGTAGTTAGTTGAGAGGATTATATAGGGGTCACTGAAATTTGTTCAATGGGGGGCTGGTTACACTGACACGTGAAGAATTGGTGTTAGTCTTATAGGTTGACTTTGGGTATACATAGCAGACTCTTTTGCATGGTTTCAGTTAATAGCTCCTTATGACATGACCCTGAAGTTTCTTCATCTCTATGCTCTTGACCCCTCTTGGCCTTGCTCCTGCGTGGAATGTCCTGCCACTCTTTTCTGCCTAGTGAAAATCTTTGCATCCTTCCTTTTGCCTTTCCGGATCCGCTCCTGATTTATTCTCTCTCCTCTTTGTTCTTAAGGAAGTTTTAAAAACAACTGCTATAACACTTGCCAATTGTGTAAGGGGTTGCTAACCACATTAGACTGTGGGCTCCTAAAGGGCGCGGTAGACCCCTATGGCACCCCCAGCGAGTACTTAGCATTTAGGCATTCAGCAGGCGCTCAGTAAATACGTCGAGGAAGCCTCCTTTTGGAGCTTCGTGGGCGCTGTCGTCCCCTCCCAGCACTCCTTCAAGCAGAGACCCTAGAACTACTCTTTCCAGCGGCCATCGCACCGGGGCCTCCCCAGACCGGCAAAGAGAGGGGTAGCAGATGATTTTATATTCCAGCGCTGCCGAAATGGTGGCTCGGAGCCGGTCTTGCCCGCTTGCCAGTTTGGCCGGAAGCTGTTCTCCAAATTCGAAATAAATCCAGGCAAACAACTTCCTCGTTTCTTCCTGGCGTTTCTCCAAATCTGACCTCACCCTACACCCTTAAGGTGAGCGGCCTGGACCGCCAGAAGCGTTGAGTGGCGGAATGGACAGACGGAACAGCCAATCACGTGTCGATACACCCGGAAGGGGCGGTTCCCTGGCGTGTCATTGACCCGGCGGCGCGGGATTGGTGAGTCCGGGGCGGCCCGGGTGGCGGGAGTTTTCGTATGTGTTGGCTGCGAGCCCGGCTACAGCGGTTGGGCTGGGCTGGGCTGACGGCGTGGGCGGCGGACCCGGGAAGGCAAACCCGCCGTGGATCCCTAACCCCCTAGGCTTGTGTCTTGCTGAGAGGCCACCTTCTTTCCGTCCCCCGGAGTTGCAGGGAAAGATGGAGCGGCCCCGGCCCCGGCCGCGTCTGCACCACCAGGTCCACGCTTCCGCCGCTGGTGCCCCCTACCCTTCCTCTGGCTCGGTCCGCAGCTGCCGGGAAAGCAAGATGCCTCACAGGAAGGGCCCCCAGCACCCTCCGCCGCCCGGGGGTCCCGAGGAGCCTGGGGAGAAACGCCCCAAATTTGTAAGTGTCGCTTGGCGCTGACAGCCGAGGGTTTGCCCACAGGGACTGGGGAACTAAATTTTATTCTAGATATCCAGAGCTTCCCATCATCATAGATCGACAGTGACAGGGTCTAATTCTATTTGGATCCTGTGACAAATGCTCTGATCTTTGTGTTGCCCCAAATTTCTTAAGGCTAACGTGAAAAGCAGTTCAAATGTGTATGTGTTGATGTCATCTAGGTGGACATTGCATTTTTAATGTCGAACTTCTCCCTTCCCCTCTAGTGTAAGAGGGTATAAGACATGTCAAAGTGAACTTTTAGATGATAGTATTTTTTTTCTGCTTAGTATTTTAATCCAATAAGAACTTTTTTTTTTTTGAGGCAGGGTCTCACTCTGTCGCCCCAGCTAGAGTGCAGTGACGTCATCACAGCTCACTGCAACCTCACACTCCTGGGCTTGACAGATCCTCCTGCCTCAGCTTCCGGGGTAGCTGGGAGTACAGGCGCGCCAGCCTGGATAATTTTTCTGTTTTTTATAAGAATGGGGTCTCAGTCTCGACTCCGTGGCCCAATAACTTTTAAAGTAGATTTAAGAACTTTTAAGGTAGATATACTTTTCCAAGTTGAAACAGCTAGTTTTAAAACTTGGCGGGCTGTGTGGTCACTGCTAAAGAATGTTGTGTTTAGTTTGGAAAGAAGTCTAAATATTTGAAACTTGTTATTCTGGTTTGCTTTCGTTATTCACTTTAACATTCAAGAGAAGTGTTATGATTAGCACCTTGTAAGTCTTTTTGTTGGTATCAACTAGTGAAAGAATAGGCAATAATGATTGTTTTATTTGTTATACGTGTGTGTGTGTAAATAAGTAACAAGCTTCATAGATTTGGGGTGAGTCCAACAGAATTGAAATTTAATATTGACCCCTCCATTTTACTTAGGAGTATGGAAAAACATTGTTTTAAGTGATAGTACAGCATTTGCGTTCTGTGGACAAGTAAAAATTGTGAGGAATTTTGCTTATGATTCACAAATTAAGGGAATACTGGTTTGTGAACCAGTTGTTAGTATAACATTTAGTAAAAAATAATAGCTGAGTAAAACTGAGAGCCGAGCTAAGAGATATATCACAATACTGAAAATGAGGAAAAGCATGGATTAATAATGCTAAATTCAGTATCAAAATGGTCACAGGAATAGTGACATTTTGCAGAAGGATTACATATGGATTTGATGATTGTTATCTTGATGGATCTGAAGAATGAATGGGGTAGAGTTAACTTGGTAATAAAAGATTCTGCCTAATGTGAGAAGAATCCACTGGGGCAATGACTTTTCTTCCTTTTATAGTCTACTGTCTGGGTTAATAATCTCATTCCATTTTGTCTTAACTGCTGTGGTGTGATTTTCTGTGACTCATTCCCAGCAAGGAGGTCATCAAAACAAGACCTAAATTAATATTTTGGTTTAGTTTCATTGAAAGATGTATCAGGTGATTTGGTTTCTAGTCTCTGGGCTGTTTTTCACTTTTATGTATGCCATATTGACCACCTCTGCATGCCATTTATTAAAAGGGTTATTGTAAAGATGAAATGGCATAAAAAAGATAATACTTTTAAGCTCTAAAGCTAATAAACACATCAAAAATACTGTGTTTTTGGGTGGGGGTCTGATTTGAATCATGACTTTGTAATTAATTTAGGAGTAATTTGGACTCTTGGTAATCTTTGAAAATAATTTAGATTCTTGCTTACATCGTAATTTCTTTAAATATATCTTCCAGTTCACCAATTCTGTCATCAGCTATATCTACTCTGCTGTTTAACTTTTTCTGAATATTTGATTGTAGCAATTATTTTTTATTTTAATAAGTTCTGTTTGCTTTTTTTCAAGTCTACCTGGACATTTCTTTTTCTTTTTTTTTTTTTGAGACAGAGTCTCGCTCAGTGGCCCGGACTAGAATGCCATGGTGTCAGCCTAGCTCACAGCAACTCCTGGGCTCAAGCGATCCTCCTGCCTCAGCCTCCCGAGTAGCTGGGACTATAGGAGTATGCTACTACGCCTGGCTAATTTTTCTGTTTTTAGTAGAGATGAGGTCTCACTCTTGCTTAAGCTGGTCTCGAACTCAACTCCTGAGCTCAAGTGATCCTCCCACCTTGGCCTCCCAGAGTGTTAGGATTACAGGTGTGAACCACCATGCCAGGCCTACCTGGACAATCTTGATAGGCCCTTGTTTCTTATTCATTTCTTTCTTTCTTTTGACATTTCCTACTTGGCTGTTCTTCTTCTTCTTCTTTTTTTTTTCTTTTTTTTTTTTTGAGACAGAGTCTTTCTTTGTTGCCCAGGAAGTGCAATGGCCTCATCATAGCTCACTGTAACCTCTAATTCCTGGGGCCTCAGTCTCCCAAGTAGCTGGGACTATAGGTGCATGCCTATAGTCCCTATAGCATTTTAAAAAAAATATTTTGTAGAGTCAGGGTCTAGCTATGTTGCCCAGGCTGTTCTTGAATGGCTGGCCTCAAGTGATCCTCCCACATAGGCCTCTCAAAATGTTAGGATTACAGATGTGAGCTACCTCGCCCAGCCTATTCTTATTCTTTATTTGACAGTTTTGGTATATGTATCCTTTGGACTGTCTCCATTGACTCAAATTCATGGTGGCTTGCTCTCTCCACTGTGCTTGTTAATCTTTATAATCATTGCTTTATCTTAACCTGTAGGATTCCAGGAGGCCTAAACTGGAGATGCTTTTTCTTGGGAGATAATTTGACTTTGTTTCCACCAGGAGCCAGCCTGGGTATGCTGCTAATTTGGAACCTCCGTTTTGAGCTGGGATTCTTAGGAAGGGCTGGAGTTATAGGCTCAGCTCTATCTCTGTTCTTGGCCTAAGGCTCAGTATCCCAATCTCAATGCTGCCTTTAGAACAGCTCTTCTTAGTCTGCCTATCTCTAACTGCTTTTGGTCCCACACCACTAACTCTTGATTTGGGGCTGGAGAGTGATTTTTGAGACCATTGTAGATCCCAACGATGCTTCAACAAGTGATTATTCTGTAATTCAGTCTGCTGTACTGCCAGATGTCAAGTCAGTTCTTTGCTTTTCCTTGATTGGGATGAAGTGATGTTAGCCTAAATCTATTTAGGTCACCCTGTCATTATCTGAGCCTGGGGCAACCGCTTTTGAGTAGAACAAGTATTGTAGGTTGGTGATGTAATAGGGATAGGAATAATTTAGATGTTCAGTGTTTTGCACATTTCTAGAAAGATGCAAGCTGGGAGTAGATCTGAGTGGGAAACTGGTCACTTGTTCTTGTAGTTTAAGAAAGCAAGGGCTATGGAACCCACTGAAATCCTGTTTTATTTTGAGCCCTGATAAAGCAGACAAACAAATCCTTGGTTTCTACTGAATCTATAGTTTTGGGCTTTAAGTCATTTGTGAACTGCATAAAACATTTTTGTAGTATAGAACCGCTCCCCATAGATAAATGTAAATAGTAGAAATTAGTCTATGTAATTGGCTGCACTGTGAATCAACTACTTTTGGGCTGTTTGTGAACTAACCAACTACCAAGTTGGTTTCAGTAGAAAACATATTAAGCCGTGAGTATTAAGATGCTGGGGATAGCTACTGGGGGATGGAATACAACTGGAGGAGGCTGAGAGGACAAGGTGGGTACCTGGGTGGAGACTTTGTGAAGGTAAGTTAGAATTCATTGGGATTGTTAAACTTGGAACCTGTCCTAGATCACACCCTCACTACCTGGACATGAGTCCTTTTTCCCTTCTAGAAGAGAACAGTTGCTCTGTCCATTGTGAAAAGCTTTTTAGTGATGCCTCCTTCCCACTGCTCTTAGCAACAAACAGTACACTTGGTGGTGGCCACCAGATCCAGACTGAGAGTAGGACATGTGGCTTTTGGGAGAAATCGCCATCTCTAGGATGTGGGTCAGTCTGTTGAAAGTGGGCCTGTAAATTGGTGGTCAAAGTTCGTGGAGGAATTCTTTTTAATTAGGAATATCCTTTAACAGTTCTCATCGACTTTAGTGTAAATCTTTCATCTAACAGTTTCTATCAAATAGATTGCTAATTATTATTTATTTATGTCCTTGCAGTACTATCAGTTTTGGTTGTGAGAGATTTTTCACCCTGTCCATTAATATGTTATTGACTGTGTTTGGACATTGTTAGTAATAACAGTTGACTTTTATGAGTGAGTCAAGCACTGTTCTAGACACTTTGTAAATATCAACTCCTTTGATAACTTACAACACCCTATTGTTAGCAAAGTATTATTTGCCATATGAGGAAACTGAGGTATACAGAAATTAAGCTGCCTAAGATTACACAGCTGCCAGTTGGTGAGCTGGGATTTGAACCTAGGCGAGCTGGCTCCAGAGTCCACATCTTTTAATCATTCTCCTGAATTACTCTCCCATAGAGAGTTGTAATCTTTGTTACTTCTTGGGAGTTTGAATCTTTATTGCTTCTTTTCTCATCCAGGAACCATTAGCAATAATTAATGATGCCTTTAATGAATATAGAATTAGTGATTTCCTGATAATAGGCAGGTTGTGATGTGGGAAGAGTTATAAGGTCAGAGAATTTTTGTTTATTGTACAGATAGTAGGAGCTTGAGTAGAGTTGAAACCAAAGTAGGTTTGATGACATTAGTGCATGCTTGCCTAATCGCATTGGGTTTATTTGGAGGTAGGTATTTTAGGCTAAATAACAATCCTCCAAAAGATAGCCACTCTTTAATCCCTGGAACCTGTGAATGTCACTTTATATGGCAAAAAAAGACTTCACAGGTATGATTAAGTTAAGGATCTTAAAATGGGGAGATTATTCTGGATTATCAGGTTGGCCCCCAAATGCAAACACATGTATCCTCACTTGACTATAGAAGAAGAGAGGGTGATGTGACTAAAGAGGCAGGGATTGGTGATGCAGCCATCAGAAGCTGGAAGAGTTAAGGAATGGTTCTCCCCTATAGCCTCTAGAGGGAAAGCAGCCCAGAACACA